AGAACCAATGGTGTTGGTACAGGCGGCATTAGGTCCACATGGATTGTTCAAACATTCATTTCGATCTGTCAAAGAAGGAACAATACAGATATTCATCCCATAGCATGCAAAACATTGAAATAAGTTTTATCATTCTAAAACAAGACCTCATGCGCACTAAAATATATTTCTAATTCTCTTTTCATTTTACTTCTTGAACTTAGAAAACAAGTAGCAAAAAACCCCAACAAATATATATATAATGCACATGTGTACATATTTTTAACCCCATACTTGTGTATAATAAAGTAAAACAAAAATTAATAAATTTTACCCCAAAAAATGTATTGTTATAAGGTCTCAGTCAAGTAATTACCTTAGCACTATTAAAGCTAGATTTCAGAACTTTCTGCCACCATTATTTTTCTGCAACAGGAACTGTGCACAGCAATGCTGAAAAAGCAAAGCAGTTAGAACATTGTATTTGCCTATGCTCTAGCTAGAACTTTTGTCCTAGTTCAACCTGATTCAAGTTGCACTCACCAAAACAACCACCTTGACATGGTATAAAAACCAATCCATACATGATGAGAAAAAAACCCAAACAACATTGTAAAAAGTTCTTTATGCTAACGTACCAACACAACCAGTATTTGGATTGCCTTCATAGCCTGATGCACAGGTGCAGGTGTAAGAACCAATGGTGTTGGAACAGAAGGCATTCAGTCCACATGGATTGTTCAAACATTCATTCTGATCTGTTGAAAGAAGAGTAATAGAGACACTCAAAGATTTCTTTCTTTAATAACCACACTACAAAACAAATTAAATCAAATTTTGTAACAGCCTGTTTTTTATCAGGTTGTAAAAAATATAATTATTTCATTGATTACCCGACCTACAGAGTTTGTTCCCTTGGTTGCCATTCCCCCTCCCCCTCTGGGTTTGTTTGTTGTTGTCTTATTTCATCTCGTGGATAAGATGCAGAGCAATACTACCCTGAATCCCTGATTTGTGGGTAAAACGTTGCGTCCTATTTAAACCCTGCACCTTCAAATATCCCCAATTCCCATCCCTGCACTACTAAAATACGGTAGGACCTAGTTGCTCTGGTTACATGGGGCATCATGAAATATGCACTGAGCAGGTTTACCAACCATATGGGAAGCTGACAAATTTTCACTACGACTACTGTACGATCTGCACAGCTTGCATAAGACAAGCCTAGAAAATGGATATTAGGCGAGACTGCCCCTTACACCGAACAAAGAGAGTGATGGACAGCATTTTCACACCCAACTTTCCACTGACACATAGGTCTAGGACTGGTCGGTGAAATGTTGGGGGGTTGGGGGACTGAAACGTTATTTGATTGGTCACTGGAAATGCATCTCTTTGAGAGAAGGTTTCTGACTGGCGTTTGAGTGACTGCGTGTTGACTAATTTTTAGTTAGACCTAAGCCTATGATGCGCGACACGCGAGAATGCTCGTTCATGAATTTACGGTCGGGGGTGGTCGCTTGGATAGCCACGTGGCTGGGCCGTCGTCTCTATGACTATCACAATTTCTTTTTAGGCTATCTGTTCCCGACTTTTTATGGCGCATTCATTGCATCGAGTCTGTCTTTCTGCCCCCCCTCCCCCCCCCCCCCCACACACACACCCATTTAACGCCTTTGCAGTTTTAACTGCAGTCGGGGAATCTTTTACAAAACAGTTACGTGTCGTCACATTATTGGCCCAAAGTGACCCCCACCCCCAAGGGAGGTCACTAGAATATCAAGGCCATGAGATGATTGTGTCCCTTCCTCCCTTTGCTAAAGTTCATGTAAACACACGCTCCGTATAAACACACACTAAGGAGCCATCCCGAGCACCGTGCGTTTAGGCGGAGACTACTGTAGTGGCCTTGGCCTAGGAGGCCTAGTGTGTACTGTCACCAGTCACTGTCAGTCGCCAGTCACCATTGCAATGGACCCGGGTTCCCCTCTTCGCTAGGCCTAATTTTTCTGTTTTAGAAGTATGCTTGCCAAGTACTTATTTTCCGGGACTGTCGGTCAAAATCCGTATTTCCGGGACAACATCGATTTTTCAAGAAAATCTGTACAAAATACGGATGGCCCGGGACAGTGGGCAGCTATGCTGCTGCCACAGCCGATCGGTTGTAAACATGGGGGTTTGGCGGGGGGATATCAGCTGAGATATCCGAGATGTATACCTGCTCCTGAAAAATGACCATTTACGGCTCAACAGATGATAAAAGGCATATAAAACCATATCTTTTCTTAATACTGATAGAATGAACCATTCAAAAACGATATGCGATCAAATACATACAATGCGCAAAACACACTAAATTCAACAATTAGCACATTAGCACGGCAGAACAAGTGACAACACATAGCATGTAGTAGCTCAGCTGGACCGCGTCACTTTATCGATCGATATCGCAGCCAAGAGACGCTCTACGAGGTCAAGATAACTTGCAAAGTCATTGGTCACTATTTATGACTTTGACCTGTAATTTACTACGTCATTTTCCATATATAGGGAACAGGCCTACTGAAATTTTCCATTGAAAAAGGGTCAGCATCTATGCCCTTTATATAGGGCCTGTGCGCTTCCCGGTTGTAGTAGGTCAGCCCTATATAGAGGGTTAAGCTCACTTACCAACACAAACAACATTTGGGTTGCCAATATAGCCTGATGCACAGGTGCAGGTGTAAGAACCAATGGTGTTGGTACAGGCGGCATTAGGTCCACATGGATTGTTCAAACATTCATTTCGATCTGTCAAAGAAGGAACAATACAGATATTCATCCCATAGCATGCAAAACATTGAAATAAGTTTTATCATTCTAAAACAAGACCTTATGCGCACTAAAAATATATTTCTAATTCTCTTTTCATTTTACTTCTTGAACTTAGAAAACAAGTAGCAAAAAACCCCAACAAATATATATATAATGCACATGTGTACATATTCTTAACCCCATACTTGTGTATAATAAAGTAAAACAAAAAATTAATAAATTTTACCCCAAAAAATGTATTGTTATACGGTCTCAGTCAAATAATTACTTTAGCACTATTAAAGCTAGATTTCAGAACTTTCTGCCACCATTATTTTTCTGCAACAGGAACTGTGCACAGCAATGCTGAAAAAGCAAAGCAGTTAGAACATTGTATTTGCCTATGCTCTAGCTAGAACTTTTGTCCTAGTTCAACCATTCAACCTGATTCAAGTTGCACTCACCAAAACAACCACCTTGACATGGTATAAAAACCAATCCATACATGATGAGAAAAAAACCCAAACAACATTGTAAAAAGTTCTTTATGCTAACGTACCAACACAACCAGTATTTGGATTGCCTTCATAGCCTGATGCACAGGTGCAGGTGTAAGAACCAATGGTGTTGGAACAGAAGGCATTCAGTCCACATGGATTGTTCAAACATTCATTCTGATCTGTTGAAAGAAGAGTAATAGAGACACTCAAAGATTTCTTTCTTTAATAACCACACTACAAAACAAATTAAATCAAATTTTGTAACAGCCTGTTTTTTTATCAGGTTGTAAAAAATATAATTATTTCATTGATTACCCGACCTACAGAGTTTGTTCCCTTGGTTGCCATTCCCCCTCCCCCTCTGGGTTTGTTTTTTTCGAAGTGTATACAGACCCGGTAACCGGGATCAAAGTCACGAAGTATACAGACCCGGTAAGGGAACTCTTTTGTGATTTCGGAAAGTTTCAGCGCCCAGACCCAGTAAGTAGTGTGTGTGCGTGTGTGTGTGTGTGTGTGTGTGTGTGTGTGTGTGTGTGTGTGTGTGTGTGTGTGTGTGTGTGTGTGAGAGAGAGAGAGAGAGAGAGAGAGAGAGAGAGAGAGAGAGAGAGAGAGAGAGAGAGAGAGAGAGAGAGAGAGAGAGCAGGGGGAAGTGCTTGCAAAATGTATGACATGCTCTAGTTGGCAGGAGGGAACGAGAGAAAGATATAGACGTCTAGTGGGAAATAGGTGGGGAGAAAGAAAGACAGAGACAAACAAAGAACAAAGAAAAAGAGAATGCGAGCAACAGAGCGAGAGAGAAATAGAGAGGATGACTGCTCGAGAGAAATTATGACATTGTTCTTTTCTTCAAATTGTAATTCCTCCAATTCCAAAACGGAGGAAAAACGATCGTTCACCGAAAAGACATCCGCAATCTTCATTTAGATCTCTAGATCTAGATCTAGATCTAGGCTAGCCTCGAAACTAGACCAAGGATTTATGTCTGTCTGTCTAGATCTAGATCTAGACCTAGCCTAGGCCATAGATCTACTCGAAGAACCTAGATTAGGTCTACCCTGAGCCAAGAGGGCGCTGAAACTTTCCGAAATCACAAAAGAGTTCCCCTACCGGGTCTGTATACTTTGTGACTTTGTTCCCGGTTACCGGGTCTGTATACACTCCCTTTTTTTTTGGGTCTTATTTCATCTCGTGGATAAGATGTAGAGCAATACTACCCTGAATCCCTGATTTGTGGGTAAAACGTTGCGTCCTATTTAAACCCTGCACCTTCAAATATCCCCAATTCCCATCCCTGCAGTACTAAAATACGGTTGGTCCTAGTTGCTCTGGATACATGGGGCATCATGAAATATGCACTGAGCAAGTTTACCAACCTGAAAAATATGCATCAAGTCAGTTCACTGGCCTAACAGGACCCTGGTAAATATTCCCCTGCACTATTTCACCAACCTAAAGAATTTAATTAAAGGCATATATTCTCTGTAGTGACCTTGATAGTGGATTCATTTTTATTAATTACCACACTTCAAATAAAAATAAATTTAAGATTTTTACTATCACGTTTTTTGTCAGGATGTAATAAACAGCTTGTAGGCCTAGCCTACTGATATCTGACCTACAGAGTTTGTTTCCCAATCCACCCCCCCCCCCCCAGCCCCCCCCCAGCCCCCTTCCGCTAGGTAATGTTGATGCCATATTATGTCAGGACAGGTGGAAAAACTGACTTTTGCAAGAGTGAACTGCGGAACAGCAACAACTAGAAGAAGTGCAAAACTGTAAAACTGTAGTGGCTCAACTTTACTTTTACATGTAGTGCAAGAAAAACAAGTGAAGACTGCAATGGAAAAATGATCAAATTCACAGCCTCAATGTAAATTATATGCTCATACTTCAAGCCTGCCCAATGCACGAAGCTCTTAGGAGGAAGTATTGGCCCAATCTAAGGCAGGAAGACCCAAACTTATGCAGGAGCCTTAAGGACCTGAGGCAAACAGCGGCTTTGCATCAGAGCCTGGGATGTCCATTTAAAGAAGAACAAGAAAAAGAAAAAGAAGAACAAAGAAGAGGAGGAGGAGGAGAAGGAGTAGAAGGAAGAGGAGGTGGAGGATGAAAAGGAGAAGAAGCAGGCACCAAATACAACCTTTTTAACCTTGTGAAAAAACGGTTGAAACAGTGAAAAACAAAAAAAAGACGAGTCTAGAGGGGTCTATTCAAACACCAAATTCAGGACAAGAAGGTTCAACTTTACTTCATCTATGCAGTAGGAACAACATTGACAAAACTTAACTCAACTCATTCGCTACGCTGAGCCGTGGGGGGGGGGGGGGCTCGAGAACCGATCTTAAATTCTAGCTTAGATTCTATTCCAATCCACATATCCATGTTAAAATAAAGGTCATGATATAATGTTGACTTCCGGGTCACGCATTTCCACTGAAAATCGGAAATTTAAATTCAGTCGTGATTCAGTTTTGAAACGCGATTTCGTAGTTTTTTCGACTTTGTTTTATCGCAAGGCCAAAATTATAGCGCGGACACGTCTTAGTAATTTTACACAACAAAATCTATCATTATTTTGCCCACTAAAGAAATGTAGGACTCTTTTTATAATATTGATACGATTGGACTCAAATTGCCAATGCACTGTTAGTGAGAAATCAATATTTTTGAGTGCTAGATCTAGGTCTAGATCTAGATCTAAATTGTCAAAATATTTTTTTTCTCCCCAAAATCACTATTTTTTGATGAAATTACACAAAAAATGCCTCTCAAGACATAAGGTTTATTCCAAATGCAATTCTGAATAATTCCATATAAGATACGAGTGGGTTTTTTTCTGTTTGTGATCGTTTTTCAAGATTATAAATTTTTTTTTTTTTCAATATCGGATGTTATGATCCAAATGTACAAATATTATGGAATGTATGTAAATAACTGTTAACTTTTCAATATTTTCCAATTCTATATTCATTTATGGTTATTTTGATATATCATTTGACTAGGTGCAAACATATTTTTTTAGTTTTACCAAATGTTATTATTTTTTTTATTTTCAAATTTTATCCGCATCCAATCAAAATTGTGTTGCATAATCGCCTCTTACAGGAACCAAAGTTGAAAAATACATAAATAAACATTACAGATGTATTCTACAAACCATACCGAAAATATTGGTATATAATACGTTGATATTTATTTGAATTTGTGGCCCCAAAGACCTTTTAACTGCCCACTAGTCATCATCTCTTTCACCCTCACAAAAAAAATTCGTCCACAAGCCAAATATAATACCTAGCAAATGAGTTAAACTATGTGGCTCTTTCCAAAACAGCCATCAAGACCAAATGTGAAATTGTATTTTACTGTGCAGGAGTTAATTATGCTCACGTACCAACACAACCAACATTTGGATTGCCAATATAGCCTGGAGTACAGGTGCAGGTGTAAGAACCAATGGCGTTGGTACAGGCGGCATTCGGGCCACATGGGTTGTTCACACACTCATCCTGATCTGTCAAAGAAAGAACAATAGAAACATTTCAGATTTTGTTGAGATTTCTACTAGTGCAGACACAGATGTATCAATTAACCTGGGGTTGTTCATCCAGCCATGCTGAAGCTCTTTTCTCCTCATATTTTTTTCTCTTGTGTTATTATTTTTCTGATCCTGGAAAAAAATTTAGAAGGTTCAAATTTTGGAAATGCAAAGCTATGAGGGCTCAGCTCTACTATTACCTTAGCAGGGTAAAGAGCATTTTGTCAAGGTCATAATGTGATTAGCTAATTAATTGTTCAAATGTTTTTACTTATTGGTATGGCAAAAATGTCTGTATCATAATCATATCTTACATCTAGCTGGTATTTCTTCTGTCTATCAACTCTTTATCTTCGGAGGGGGTTTTTCCATTAGGCCTATGCCTGGGCCCTCTTTTGGTATTAAACCAAAAAAGTGACAAAAATATTCCTAAATTGGTTGTTAAATCAAAACGACTGAACCTATTTTGATAGTTCTTCATCTAATGAAAATGCTCCCAGTAAAAGAGACCTGTATTCTGCACTTGCTGAAAATGTATATAACATCAAAGTCATCGTAAAGGTATGTACGGTCGCTGCTGCCAGTGGCTCACAGGCACAGTAGGTTTGACTGCAAGCAGTTGGGGGAGGCTTGTCAGAGACAAACAGTTAAAAATCCAATCATTTGAACTTTTGTGCTTCTGTTCAAGTCATGAGGCTTAATTAGGTAAAAAATGACACAGGCTATGACTTGATCAAGTATGATCACCAGATGTAAAGCCATTCCATACATAATTTTTGAGACAGAGATTGATAAAGGGGATAATTAGGCTCAACATTTGGATTGCTAGTATAGCCTGTAGCACAGCTGCACGAATAAGAACCGATGGTGTTTGTACAGATGGTATTCGCTGCACAAAGATTATTCGCACACTCATCCAGATCTGTTAAAAAAAGATTAATAGAGACATTCAAGATTTTAATGAACATAGTCACAGATATACAAACAGGGATTTTTCCTGAGTGGTGCTGAACCTTTCCTTTTATCCTCTTTCATGCATATTTCTCAAATCAAGAAAAAAATAGAGAAGATAAAATAAAGAAACACAACATATATAATGATGTACGCCACTTATCCAAATGCACTCAAATACACAAAATTAGTTTTTGGAGTTTGACTGCCAGAAACAAATGTTACAAAAGAGACACTACTCACAAACCGACTATGTGCAAAATATCGAAACATCTTTCCGCATTGATAATGCAAGCCAAATCAAATGCAATCTAAAACTCTTTGTTTCATTTCATTTCTGTTTCGAACCAAGAAAGTTATTCCAAGATAAAGTAAATAAAAAACACAACACACAAGCTTACATACACATTTACGCACATGCATACAGGTACACAATTACATAATACAGTAAAAAAAACAACCCTGACAGATAAAAAAAAACAAGTCTCCAAAATGCACTTTCTATTCCAAACTTAGAAGAGACTGTAACCAGGCACTATGGACACAACATGCCCGAATTGGTAGCCAAGTGATTTTCACATGGAATTCACTGAGGAACAGCAATGGTGGATGTACCATCCCATGGCAGCTCAGCACTGCTTACACCTTTGCTTCAAGATGAACATGTGTCTAAAACTGACATCATCTTTGTAGCACTCACCAATACAACCAGCCTGACCAGATGTAAAACCGGTTCATTCAAAAGTAAACAAAAACTAACAGGTGAAAAGGAGCTTATTCTGTTCACGTACCAACACAATCAAGATTTGCATTGCTAGTATAGCCTGTGGCACAGTTACAAGTGTAAGAACCGATGGAGTTGACGCAGTTGGCATTCAGCCCACATGGATTTTTCACACACTCATCAATGTCTGTAGAAGAAAGAACAAAATATACATTCCAGAATTTGTTGAAGTTTATACCAATGTCGAAACAAATGTAACAAATTAGGATTTTTACTTTCCTGTGTTGAACCCCCTTTTCTCCCTCTATTTTTTCTTCTCAGGCTTACCTATCTAAGCACATATAGTCACTATATAGTGCATAGTAACATACCCATATTTTTCACAAGTAGACACGCAACAGGTCATTTTTTTAATGTTATGATTTTTAGGTTCAAAATATGCAAATTTTATAAAAACAACACACATGCCCACAATACATAAAATACTGCAGCATACTTTCTACATTAAAAATGTTGGTCAACCCAAACACATACTACAAATCTGTTTCTCATTCCCTACTGAGTTTCTGTTTAAGGGAAGACCCGGGTCGGCAATCCAAGGCAATATCGATATAATTTTTCAAACTATCCAACTTTTGTTTTTTGCAGAAAAACATCCTTTGACATCTGTTCTATCGGGTCAAAATGAAGAAACTGTTGAAAAAACACCCTAAATGACCTAAAAGGGCGTTTGAAAAGTGCAAGTTGCTCTAAAAATCCTTTTTAAAATCCTTGTTTTTTCTGTTTTTCTCAAAATCTACTTTTTGACATATGTGACCTCCTGGGTGCAAGGAGTTTTCAAAAACTACAATAGCTAAAAGCTTCAAATTTGGTGTACAGGTGCTTTAAGATTCTGGGGATCTATGAAAGGGAATTGGGAAATATTGGTAACTTGAGGAAATATTCAATTTTTTTGTAATATGTACCCCAAAATTTCGTCAACTGACTCTAGGGGGTCCAATGGCTTTGGGCTCACTTTTTTAGTTTTAAAGGTACGTCAAAATCCTTTCATGGATCCCCAGTATATAATTTTTCCGGGAGTGTACGTCCCCCCTTAAGATATGGAAAATTAGTTCTCTATAAAACACCACAATTACAACGAGCATTTTTGAACACACATCATGTACACATATTATACACACTGACATAATCATATAAAAAGAAAGCCAAGAGACATAAGAACAGTTTTTGAAAGATGTTCCTGTCCTTAAACTCACAACACAACTAACCAGGATTGACTGAAGAAAATATTTTACAAGGAGTGGACTGCAAAACAACACTGCTGGATGTGCAATGCTCTGGGTGTCAACTTTGCTTTTTACATTTCCTGCAAGAAGAATATTTGTCTAATTTATATCGAACTCATCAATGCAACCATCCGACCCAGAGGTAAAATCAATCCAGAAACAACTGAGAGAATATCTTGGAGTTAATTTCGCTCACATACCAGTACAACCAACATTCGGATTGCCTGTATAGCCTTCAGCACAGATGCATGTGTAAGAACCCACATTGTTGACACAGTTGGTATTCACCGGACATGGACTAGTTCCGCACTCATCCCGATCTGTCAAAGGAAGAACAACAGAGACATTCTAGGCTTGTTAACTAAAGGGGGCGGGGGGGGGGGGGGGGGGGGGGGGAAGAAGACGAGGGTAAAAGAAAAGACAACACATTATTGTAACCAAACACTAGTTTTGATTGAAGGAAGAATGTTATAGGTAAAACAGGTCTAAGATACAGACAGACTATTCACTCAGATATGCTTTAGTTTTGATAAGAGTTTAATGGCACTTGCAACACAATAAGGTCATATGAGTGCCGAAGATTAGAGATGTTACAAGAGAGTAACAAACACAAAAAAAGGAGAAATCAGGACGATAGATATTTGATAGGAAAGAAGGAGCAAACCACACCAGAGAATCCGCCAACCACCCACTCAGATATGTTTACACACACACACAAATATACACACACACACACACACACACACACACACACACACACACACACACATGATGGCTTGGATTTAGAGATGGCTTGGATTTAATTTATCTTGGTAGCAAGAAACAAATTTGTCCATCAAAGTTTGGTAACTTCAATAGCTTGAGTGACCTAGAAAACTGAAAAATTGCGCAATTTGTGCCTTTGATCAACGTTTTCCAGTAAAATTCACTTAGAAATGTGTTTTTTTAAGGATGTGAAAGGCGTTCAGCCAAAAAATTAAAAAAGTGATAAAAATTGCCAAACTGGGGGACAAATGCCTATTCCTTCAATATCATTATTTTGACCAGCACCTGATTTCACCACGATGCCTCACATGTAGTGTTACTTCCAAATGAACACCAAAAATAAGTCAGTACTTAATAATAATAATAATTGCATTTATATAGCGCATATCCCTGCTCTATGCGGTTTACAACTATTATTACCCCAGCAGACAGTCTGAGAACACTCGGAAACATTCACGGCTTCCGCAGAAGCATACAGTGCAAGCTGCGGATTTCACACGCTCAAACACTATCAAACTGACAAGATCGTTCACTGTCTATAGCCGGGTCAAAGTATGATGAGTATTCTGTAGCCTACATAAATATTAAATTTTCTCCTAGGGGGGATGTTCAATTGGTTTGTTGATAGTTTGAATGAAAAGAGCAGTTTTTCAATCGCGTATTGTTTCAGTTTGTGGCTGTATGGTAACAATGTTGAAACTCAGCTGAATGCACAAAATCAGCTATCACTATATGCAAATAATAATATATTTTTTTTACAATGAAAATTGACATGTATATTCAGAAATGAACTTTGATTGAGTTAATTGTACATTAAAAAATGTCCCATAAATATGACTTTCCTTTTTGCACTGTTTGTTATTGATCTGATTTGTATTATCGCATTGAACTACAATTTGATTGATATTTTGACCCAGCAGTATACATAACCTGATTTTTACATTCATTTTCCCTTCAAAAGAGGTATGAAACACTGCTGTAGCTTAATTTGAAGAGAAATGATAGCCCACTGTGTACATGACCGCGTGTTCCATTAATTGACTGATCAAAATAACATTTTGTTGAAGCATGGAAACATTTTTTTTTCGGAGACAAAGGGTAAGCCTTAAGCTTCACTCTACCACTTTAGAAAAAAAATAATCGTGAAAAGCTGAAATACCAGCTTAAGCATAAAAAAAAAAATTGGTTGCTAATCGCTTGCCAACGGAAAAGTAGTTTTTTGGCAAATATCTCTCAGGTACATTGATGGCAGCCTTGCCATCTACGTTTCCTGAAAGTTTCATGTCAAAAGGATGAAAACTAAGGAATGACTGGGGGAAAAACTGCACACAAAAAAGACATTTTGAGAAAAACGACTATTATTGTGAAAATTCATTATATTTTAACCCATCCTCATTTTTTCAAAGGCAATTTACGACTAGAAAAAGACTTTCTCAATTGTCTCCTTGTTATTTTTAGACAAAGAACGGCGGATCTTCAAATATCAGCCAACATCTCAATTTGCATAACTTGATCCAAAATCAGCCAAACTGAGGGTCACTTCTCCAGTTAATGTTCTCGAGATAAATGAAAAAATAACTCTGGATGCACATTATTAGGATTAGTCGTAGCTTTTTCATTTTGAAAACTTCTACTTTGGATATATAGATATACTGTCTTGACTTTGACACCAGAAGGATATGGGCAAGATTAGTGTAACAAACTAATAAAACAAAAAAACCCAACTTTGTCCTTTGGGACAGCATTACTGTTGAGATATGTTTCTCTGTCACTGATCAAAAGTTTTGTCTCTAATAAAATAAAACCAACCACTAGGTCAATCCCACATAGTTATTCAACCCTTCCGATGCCTGTACTCAAATCATATCTTCCTTCCAGCAGGGCTAACTGTTCCACAAAAAAAGGTATTTGAACAACATGATAGTCACACTTAGTACGCACCAACACAATTGTCATTCCCATCACGTCGATAGCCCGCAGAACAGATACATGTATATGCTCCTTCGAGGTTTACACAATCTTGATTGGCCTCGCAGGCATTGGCAAAGGTACACTCATTCACATCTGAGGAAAGATTTCTACTGATAAAATAACGGCCTTTGAAATAATGATTTGAGAAAGTAACAAAGTAGTTTAGATACACGTGCATCCACAGATGGTACTTGCTTGAGTTAGGTAAGTAATACACTTAACATGTGCTCAGCCAGCTGGACATAACATTTCTGAGAGTGTGTAAATAAAAACTATCCTAATGTATGTTATTTGTGATGAAACGGAATAAAAACTCATGTCAGTGGCTTGACAGCGTATATGTGATGTGTGCTGACAAAATGAGCTGATGTTCAAATTTTAGCCACATGGACATAGATGTATGTCAAATTCATAGGTTTAGTTTGTACAATTTATTATATGAAATGATAAAAGACATACTTAACTTGAAGAAAATGGTATCAGTTTAAAATCTACGAATTTGATATGTTTATTTTCAGCCCTCATTTCCTTTTGTGGATTCTCATTTTGTCAGCTCCATAAAACAGTGTGAGAATACCCGGCAACTGGCAAAGTCACAGACTAGAACATGTTGCATGTCTAACACAGGATTAAGTCTTTACGGACACAAATTCTGGTCATTCACTTGAAAATGCCCTGTTTTGGGGCACTTTAAAAAAGAAACATTACTTTGTTATTTACACAGATAATATATTTCAATTCTATTTGCTCTATCTAGAATTTATAAAGGCACGCAGAAACACGCATTCTACGAAATATCCAAATTTATGTTTCTTATTTCTGTATAATATTTGTGTATAATGGTTTGAAATGAGTCAGATAATAGCCTTTGGTTTGCTGCTGATCAGATATATAATATATATTAAGTGTCCGCTACATCCTTAAAGAGTTAAGACATTTGGCAAGAATGCACAGATCAATTGTGAAGAATACTGGGCAACACAAGTCAAAGCAACTAAAATAATAATTTTTGCGGTTGTGGCTGCTTATGAATTTATACATTGATACCGGTAATTATATACCAGTTACATGAAAAAAGTCAATGTTTAGATTTTTTAAAAAAAGATTCGCAAGTTCATCTTTTACCTGTACAAGCTGTTCCATTCGAGGCATAGCCAGGAGCGCAGGCACAGGTGTAAGAGCCTTGATTGTTGTTACACACCTCGTTCACCCCACATGGGTTTGTTAAACATTCGTTTACATCTGTGTGAATAGAGACGTTTTATGTCATTACCACTCATCATGTAAATACTGTGCCTTCTGGTTATTAGAAACACATCACCATTTAAAGAAAAAATCTATTAAATGTCTAAAAATGTCATTACCCAGTCAAAGCCAGAAAATATTTTTGCCATAAATTCAGTGCTGGCTAATTTTGTTTTACCAGAGGTTTAAAAAACACAATTTACCTCTTTGAGCACCTGCTGAAATTTACAAAAGCTCACTTTTACTAAATAGAGAACCCAAACTTTGGTATACACTTACAGGAAGTAAGGAGTCTATATTCAGAATTTGGTTGATGCTTCTATTGTTCAGAAGTGAGAGCATCCTTTATCTGATTAAGACCATAATAAAAATATAAGAGTCCTAGTCGGCTTTAACCAGGAAAAGTTTTAGTAAGAGTTTTACGGCACCTGCAACACGATAAGGTAAATAAGTGCCGAAGATTATAGGTGTTACAAGAGAGTAACAGACGCAAAAAAGAAGGAGGAGAGATCAGGAGGAGAGATGTTTGATAGGAAAGAAGGAGCAAATCACACCAGAGCACCCGCCAACTAACCACTAACCAGGAAAAAGATACTCTCATTGTATATCAGGATTGAGAACTTCACAAAGATTAAATTAGTGTTGTCAAAAGCTTAGTGGTATTGGCTCTTGAATTCGCAACTTTAAGGTCATGAGTTTGAATCCCGTCAGAGATTCAATATGTTGTGGCCTTGGGGAAGGCGATGTTAATTAATTTTCCTCACTTCACCCAGGAGGGAATGGGTACCCAGCTATAGACAGCAAAAGATTTTATCAGTCTTTTAGTGTTTTATTGCATGTGATCCACAGTTTGCACTGCATGCTTCTTGGGGAGCCATAAATGTTTCTGAATGTTCAAAGGTTTGCTGTGGTAATAAAGGTTGTAAAACCCATAGAGCATGCTGTTATGTGTGGATATACACTATTCAAATTTAACCATTATTATCATCATTATTATTACTATTATTGTTATTATCACTATTATTATTATCATTATAAAATTAGTGACGTTTCCAATATAAATCAAGGTGTGGTAAATAATGCGAGTTGAAAAGGTAAGTGTTGAGGTCTTTCATTGTGTGTTTCTGATTGTTAAACAAAAATATCAATTTCTCAACCACAAGAAAAACATTCTCAATAGTGCTTGATATCTGCTTCATGGGTGAAAAAATACCCCCAAAAATGAAAAAGTAGAAAAACAGAAAAAACCCACACAAAAACAACCAAACGTAAAAGTTGCTAAACAGTTGTGCATTGTATGGTGCACTTACGAGGATGAGGCCAGTGTTTTGATTGGATTATAAATAAATTGAAGTGGGAAAGACAGAATGCCTACATTTTTATACAAGTGTCCAAGCGAGTATGAATGGAAATCATACAGAAGAAGTAGAAGAAAATGTGAGGTAATGGCTTACCTGTACATGGAGCTCCAGCGAAAGGACTAGCAAAGCCTGTTGCACACTGACAGGTGAAAGAGCCAAAGTTGTTACTACACACTTGGTTAGACTGGCATGGGTTTCCTGTACATTCGTCTATATCTGTTCAGAAAGAAAAAAGCTATCAGTATGTGTACATATTACAAAACTGGAAAAACAAAACGAAAATGTTGATACAATATCAATACTAAGCACTGGCTGCCAGCCAAAAGTGATGATGTCCATTAGGGCCAAAATGTCTAAATTACATTTTTTTAAAGTTGGGTTATTCAAACTAAATTCTGTCATGTCTGAAAATATCAAACCATTTCTTGTCATAGGTTTGTTAAAATTGCAATTCCCAAAGTGTTCAAGTCCAAGTGTTTCTTGTTATACCATGCTACAAAAATCCACTTTTCTCAAAACAAGGACACCAGTGTCTGTAACTCAAAGGTAAGGCAGTTTGCTGTCACATGCAGGAGACCCGAGTTCAAATCCAGAGTGGGGAGATAGTTTTTTTATAAAGTATTTCAGCGTTTCTGCTGGGATGTTGTATCCCTCTCAGCCCGAGTTGGTCCAGACCGACAGGGTCAGAAGTCTGTCTCCCAAATAATGTAAACTGTGTTGATAGGGGCATTAAACACATATGTTAACCCCTCCCCGAACCCCCCCCCCCCCCCCTAAAAAAACAAACAAACAAGGAATGCAACACATGTGAGGCATCGTGGTAAAATTTGTCAAAATAAGGATGTCCAAAAACCTGGCATTTTCTGACTGTTAGTCAATTTTTTTCGAATTTTCTACTTTTGGACCTTTTAGGTCCATTTAAAAACATTTCCATGTAGATTTTACTGAAGAATGTTGATCAAAGGTACAAAAAAAGTAAATTTGCAATTTCCTGAGACTCTCAAGCTTTGGAATTCACCAAGCTTTGGTAGCCATTTAAATTTCTTGCAATTTTTACCTCTGGCACCAGGAGCCCCCAACCTTCTTTAATTGCTAATATCTCAGTATTTGAGACTAGGGCTAATCCAGACTGAGAGGGATACAACATCCTAGCTAAAAGATGCTTTTCAGTAAAATCCACCCAAGAATTTGTTTTTAAAAATAGACATAACAGGTGTTGAGCCCAAAACAAAAAAATTGATAAAACTTGCCAAGTGGGTGGAAAAATATTGGCTTCTTCGGTTTCATTATTTTGATAAGCGCCTTATTTCACCACAGTAAAACATATATATTTTAGTTCTAGAGGAGCAAAAGTCAAAATTTGATACAAAGTTTGGTTTCATTGGTTTGTTACACCAGTTAATCCTGTATCATAATTGAGTCAAAGGCAGGGAGACTTATCTACATTTGCAATTGTATTTTTTAAAGTAGTAAAGCTACAAAGTGACTGTCATACAGTTATGTCATATTATGCCTTTGAATGGCAGAGTACCACAGAGAATGTGCCTAAATCATAATGGCCATCAGAGCTGACAAGACTATCACCAGTTGTTCCTACTTCCTTTATTTTTTAAGAAAATGTTGCTCAAGAGTATGCTCCACTGAAACATGAACCAAAATGTGAATAAAAATAACTGCACAGAAAGCAAGCAATTTCAATCATTGTCTTACCGTTACACACAGATCCAGCTTCTGTAAAGCCTATTGGACATGTGCAATTGAAACCACCCTCATAGTTTTGACACACCTTGCCTGGTCCACATGGGTTTCCTCCACATTCATCAATGTCTGTTAGGAAATGTAAAACAACTCACAACAGTTATTAGTCATCAAAATACTGTAGAAAAAGTAAACTGTGACAGTTTTTCCTATTGTCAGCTGAAAACCAGAAGGGATAATGTCTATTTTGGCCAAAATGCCAAAAATACTCAAACTGAGGCACTCAAATGACATTCCACAATGTCTGTTAATACCAAAGCTATCAGCCTCTGTAGTTTAGTCACACTTCTAAAAAATGTCTTTGTCCAAATATTTTGATCCGGGTTACATCTTGGCATGGAAACTTATTTTTCTTAGAACAAAGAATTTAGTTATAGTCATCTCTATCTCTCAGCTGTCTAGTGGTAACCTCAACTGACATTCACATTCATTATAGGCCAAGTAAATATTATTCTTTTATTTTTACTATCTAGAGGACTCAATACATTTTGTTCCACAAATATATCCACAGAATTCAAATAGAAAAGGTAAAAAGAAAAGAGACTATTGAAAACACTTTCTTTATCAATACTCTATACACATGGACCGAAGTACAGTAAAATAGTATTTTTCTGGGAGAAAACAATTTTGAAATTCGGGAAAGGGTATTTTTGCAGGGGACAAAGGAATTTCACTGTATGGACAATCATATGAAAAATAATGACTCGTGAAAAAATATTCTTTTACAAAATCAATGTTTTCTGTAGAACTTAGTTGCCTTTGCATCATCAAAAGATGACTGTGTAGTACAATACTAAAACTAGTACCTTTATGTGACCCCCAGAACTACTGATTGCAGCACATAAGCAGGAAAAAAGTTTGGAGGTAACTTGGTCGATTTATCTCCACTTATCACGGACACGCCCAGACAATGTGGTCGCTGGTGAGTGAGAGATGAATTGCTCAACTAGCCTACATACTCATACTACTAACTACTGGTGGGCAGTCCTGGGGATTCCATGAGTGATTCTTGTGGTGCAACACATTGCGGTAATGTAGTAGTACTTGCACTGGCACTTTTGTTCTGCGTCACAAAAGTAACTTGCTATTTCGCAAATTTTACCTCGAGGAAATTTTCACTGTCTTTATCCACCACTGCAAAAAGCATAAAAATTCTACCTCACAAAAAAAGCCCAAATCTTTTACTGTATCAGCATCCCCTCCTCCCCCCCACCCCCCCATAATAGAACAACTATCATAAAAATGTTTTATGTCCCAATTAATTGGGTCTTAAAAGGAATAATCCATCGTTATACATGGATGGGTGATTTACTGATGCAATCATCATTAAAATGAAGAAACATCACTCATCAAGTACAACGATGAACCCAACGGGAAACGGGTTAAAAGTCTTGAAGTGGCACCCTCTTTCCTACTCTCTGGTGGAGCTGTCTTTGCTTTATTATTTCACTGAAAACTAGTAAAGTTTGTACAGTTTCATAGTGGGTGGTTGGCGGGTGCTCTGGTGTGGTTTGCTCCTTCTTTCCTCTAAACAGCTACCGTCTTTATCTCTCCTCCTTCTTTTTTACGTTTGTTGTTACTCTCTTGTAACACCTCTAATCTTCGGCACTTATATGACCTTATTGTGTTGCAAGTGCCGTAAAACTCTTTACTAAAACTAAACAGTTTCATACTTGCTGGAGATGTCATCTCTGACTCAGAGGTTGGCATGTAATGACCTTCCATCTTTCACGGTCATGAGCTACCACTGTGCATTCTGCTATACCCTGAACAGTCCATGTTACTCTTTGTCTTCCCCTGGCTCTCCTGCCCCATATCTTTTCTTCAAGCACTTCTTTCCCAATGGTCTGGTGTCATTTTATGAGACCAAAGCATTGTATTTTTCTACATTTTATTTAGTTAAACAGGGTACTCATACAGTAGAACACTGCTATAGCAGGACATTTTGTTCCAGAAGAAAAATCCCACTGTAAGTGAGTTCCCGCTATAGGAAAGCAAAGGGGAAATGACCGAAAAACTTCTAAAAATCCACATGAATAGGCCTACCTCCCTTCCATATCAATAAAATTTGCGCTTTTGATTAGTCTTCCTTTTCTTGTCAACTTCGTTAATTATCTCAGCTTTTAATTTGAGTAGGAATAATTTCCTATGGTCATTGTTGGCAGCCATCTTTTCCCTGGTTTCATTGCTTTTGCAGTCTATCGTACCGGAAGAGCAACTCTAGAACTGGTGAAGTGGATGCGTGCGTATGCCTATGAGCATCAACGATCGCAATTCAATGAATCAGGAATCACACACTACACGCTCTCCTCTTTTACTTTTTGGCCTAGCCAAGGCCTAGGCCTATATCCTCTCATATTGAGCCTCTAAGCTACGGCACATCACTTTTGGAGTGGCTCACGGAACGCATTCCCTTCGCACCAGCTCTCTCTGCCATCTGCCCCACCTCACTCATCACTGGACTGGCCATTCACAACGCCGCACCACTGACTGCCTGTTTAGAGCCCGCCTACAGCCCCCCTCCACCCCCCCAACCCCTTTCCCCCCAGATAGAGCCCGTTTGATCTCTCCCACTGTATCCGAGTTCGGGCCTTTCCTTGCCACTCTAAATCCGAGCACAGGTAATTGAGTTTGCATAGAGAAAAAAAGGGGATTCCCTTAAGATCCCACTGCAGCAGGTGCCACTGTAGTCGCGTTCTACTGTACTTTGGTGGTGATAATGTAGGCATAAGTACTTAACCTACCTGGCCAAGGTGAGCATACGAAAGCAGATGAATTGGATATCTATTTTTTAGGAGGGGGGAGGGTAGCTGCTTTTGTGTTTTCTGTTTTTTAAAATCAATTTCCTCCAAATGTTTGTGGACTTGACACGGGTGGTACAATACAGGCAATATTTTCTTCCAGCCATTGCCTCTTGTTAGCTGTGGACATTTTTGCAAGTGATTGTCTTCATCCAGCTCCATAAGCAAAGCGATTGGTTCCCCATCTTGTGGATTGAACTGCTAGAAGACTCGCCATCTCATGACAAGTGGAGTCATTACAATACCATAAAACCATTTTAGCCTGGGACCCCACACCCCACCCCCCCCCCCCCCCTTTCCGCTCTCTCTCTCACACACACACACACACACACACACACACACACACATACACACACACACACAAACACACACACTAACAAATCCATGTTAGTCCTCTGAAGAACCCCAATGTTTTTCAATGATAGAATAGAAATGTAAAAGAAGAATCCAGAACAAATGAACAATTATTCACCTTTACACAACGACCCAACTTCGGTGAATCCTGAATCACATGTACAGGTGTAAGAGCCCTCATTGTTAGCACACACTGCATTCTCCTGACATGGTGTTCCGGTACATTCGTCTATGTCTGTGCACAGAAAATAGTTAACATTATACCCCCATTTAATCAAATCAATGAATAGAAAAAGCACTTAATTTGTATCTCATTTTGCCTTGAATCGCTTCTTCAGCTCAAGCCAAAACCATAAATGCAATGCCTTTACTATAACAACATGGATGTTTTTATACATGTACGCATGATGACGGTGAAGATCTTCTTGGCAGAAAATGGGTAGCTGTCAAAGCTGTTTTTGGACTTTTAAAAAAAAAGAAAAACACTTCCCTAAAATCATATGCAGTCAGTCATTCATGGTAGAACACAAAGTTCTGAGAATGTTTCCATGAAGAACAACAAAAACTCAGATCGCAATTGTATTCAAGTCTAAAAATTCTACATGTTGAAAAGCATTGTAACAATTAAATCTGGCAAAACATAAGGTACAGAAAATTAAAGTATTATTTTCCCACATGCCCTCTTGCTAGTGGAAACATGAAAGAGTCAAACAGAAGGAGTGACTTTTAGTCACATGGGTCAAAACTTTACCTGTACACCCTGATACAGTGGCTTCAAATCCAACAGCACAGGTACAGCTGTAAGAGCCCACAGTGTTGTTACACACTTCATTTCTCTGGCAAGGGGATCCTTCACATTCGTCAATGTCTGATAAAACATTAAAAAAATAAAACAAATTGTGTTTCCACATTACATTCCCATTTCACTTTTTTGTTTAAAAGAGAGAGAGAAAAAATTGTGCAAATCATCAGTCATAAAAGTTTACCAGAAATAGGAATAGACCCCCTGTTCTGTCACAGAGCAAAAAAAAAAAAAGATTGTTTGTCATTTTCCATTCTGTTCCAAGTGAAATGAGTCGTTTTTTTTATGGCAGATGGCTGATCCGTTCCTGACAGTAGCACAGGAACAATCCTGCTATTAGTTGCAGTTGTTGAATGGAATGTGCCCTTACAGGGGATTAGCATCTAGGAAAAAAAATTCAGTTTCGTACTGCCAGTGGTGGATCATGAAATAACAAACAGAAAATGAAACTTTCTTTCTTTGCACTAAAAAGGTATGGAAAGATAAAGTAAGAATAGAAAAGGGGGGAAAATCATAAAGTTAGTAAATTCCACCATATTAAAGAATGTGGTAGTTTCAAGGGGTACCAGAAGCAATTATGGAAGTAATTAATTCAGGACTGACTTAGGAAGCCAAGATTTCAGGATAATGATTCTGAGGGTATCAAAATTTCAAGCTACTTAGCTTGAACTGTTAAGCAAAACTACTTATGAGGTGATTCTATGTATTTGCTGGGTTCCATGGAGAAGTCTTAAATGTGACTAACTTCAGGTAGCTTAATTTGGAAGTCTTTGTACAAAGTGGTATATTGCTATTTCAAGTTTATTCAATCCCCAGAGACCTTCAAACCTCCCAAACCTCCCAAACCTCCAAATTTCATTGGTCAGTCCTACTTAAAATGTTTACAGAGTGTGGACCAGAGACCGCATGTACATGTCAGAGGCACATATTCTCTTCGGAGACTTATTGTAGAAAAGCTACTACAGTCTAAACATCAAAAACATAAAGAGTGGACTTTGACAAAATAGCTTTTTGTTGCAGTATATCGTAAAACATTTCACCTCCATATTATGATTAAGGTAAGAAAAGTTAATATTCTTACTTGATAGCAACACTACATGTGCAAACTACAAATCTACTGTCACCAGTTTTGAATTAAAAAACCAACAGGTGCAAAGAAGTATTGAGGAAAAATAGGATACCATTTTCTTGAGGACTCCCTGTATTAACACCATTTAGGCTGCACATGTACAACAACTGTTCGAGATCTGTGCCTCTGTACCTTTCACAGTGACTAGGACTACCAAGCATGGGTGGTTGGTGGGTGCTCTGGTGTGGTTTGCTCTTTCTTTCCTATCAAACATCTACCACCCTTCTCTCTCCTTTTTTAACACCTCATATCTTCGGCACTTAAATAACCTGATTATGTTGAAAATCCTGTAACATGCTTTACTAAAACAAAGACTACCAAGCCACGCTTCTACACAAAGGGACTACAAGGTGTTTTGCTCACCGACACAGATATTGCTGGTGCTGTTCACAAAGCCAGGAGAACATGTACAGTCAAAAGAGCCGGGAGAGTTGGTGCAGTCTTCATTTACCCCACATTTGCCTAAATCACATTCATTGATATCTGTGGAGAGGGGAAGAGAAAGACAATTAAAAGTAATATCTGAACTGATATTATACTGACAAGATCTGTGTATATCTTTGGGTATCATATTACTCAAAAGTTGAAATAGTAAGTACCACAAAAGAATGCATACATGTACAAAAACAGTCTCACCTATCAGCATCTATATCCTTCTCTTAATTTTGTTCTCAGTAACTTAAGATCACTATCATCAGAAACTACGCCCATCACTCTTTATGGAGAACCCCTTGCAGAAATTAGTCAATTCAAGTACGGCAGCATTATATCCAAAATTGCAGACTGCCTAGACGACATCCACCAAAGACTTAAAAATGCATGGATCGCTTTTGTGAAATTAAAAACTATGTGGCAGTCAAAGATCATTTTATGGGAGAAAAAAAAAAAAAATATATATAATAGCAATATTTTGGCTGTATTGATGTATGGTTCAGATATATGGAAAACAAAACAATTCAACAAAAATAAAAAAGCTTCCAAACAAAATGTCTACAAAGAATTTTACTAATAAAATGGAATGAATTTATTACTAATAATGAAGTGTTCGAAAGAGCTGGAATTGATGATATCAACATAACAATAAAAAAGAGAAGAAGGATATATCTGGGACATGTTCTGAGAATGCTGAAGACGAGATTGCCCTATCAGACATGGCATTAGAAACAACTGGAAAGAGAAAGCGGGGAAGACCAACTGGAAGCTTTAGAGGCACAATAAGAGATGAGGAAACCTCCCAGGGCCTAGATGTGCCGAAATTGGAGAAAGTGGCCTGGGACAGACAAGCATGGCATCAACTGCTCTCCACCTTATGTACCTGACAGTATAGGGAGAGAGTTAAGTAAGTAAGTAAGTAGCTTAAGATTGCACAATAAGTTTTGTCCAAGAGATTTTTCAGATAGAAATATGGATGTAAAAGTAAAAATGTTTACTCCGTATCTCTGTCAATGGAAGCATGTCGTCTGCCTAGTTTTCCACACACTGCACTCATTTTGGGCCCTGAGTCCTTACCCCATTGCTCTCGAACAGAACAGTGTTGTCTGGCCCCTCTTGTAGAGAGTGTACATGACATCATTAATCTTTCACTTGTGTTTTCTCTCCTATTCTTATAGGAATTTCCTATTCATAACAGTTTTTGACCTCAGGGTATGTGAACAGCACTGGGAGGAAGATGAAGAGTTGGACAGAGGAAATGATCTGAAGACAACTTCAGAGAGTGGACGGGCTATGACGGAACATCTTACAATAGAAAGCTGAAAACTGTGAGAGGAGTGGAAGGAGCTGGCTGCAAAATCTGCAGCCGTTCCCCAATGGTCATCCAGAATGTGATGTGAGGAAAAGCGTCAAAACACATAATTTGCACTAACATCACAAACACTTTTCAGAACAATTACAGTCAACATTAGCCACTAGAGCACACATTTCTCATAGACTGCTCCACATGTTCCCATCACGAAATCGCACCACCTAAAAACTCTTGGCCCTCATAATTGCATGATGTCAAATACCCATGAAAATAACACTACAACATAGTATGTTGATGTACACACGAGTACATAGCTTATATTTGTATGGGATAGTGGGCGATATAAATGCAATCTATTAATACACATACGCACACATGAACACACAGAAGCACCAGAATGAAAAGAAATGCATCACAGTTATTAAAGATAACTTTTTATCATCATGCAGACGGTGACAGCGCAAATGAAAGAAGCTACTTACCCACACATCCAGTCTGTCCAGGTGTGTAGCCAGGCCTACATTCACACTGGAATCCAGGGCTAGTGTTAACACACACTTGATTTGGTCCACAGGGGCTGAGGGCACACTCATTGGCGTCTGCCACAGATAGTAAATAGCTCCAATATAGGGCCTACTTTTTTTTTTACCGAACATTGTCCATGTTTCAGTACACCGCATTTAAAAAACAATAATAAATTTTACTTTTTAAGAAACTGAATAGTCATTAAATAACTTAAGCAGAAAAAGTTACTCTCAAAGAAGTTTTGCACAAATATTGGTGAATATTTGGGTTGAAAATCATTGAAAGTAAACATTTTAATGTTATCCCAGACCACATGATAGGTCTCCTGAATCACAGAGAAAATAATCCTTGGAACAATATTTTTACACCATTTTGGGCCATTTATTTCCACATTTCTGCAGAATACTAGCACTAGGTACAATATATATAAGTAGTATACAATATATGTAGATAGATGAAAGTACTTTTTATTTTTTGTGCGTGTTTTACGGCGCTCCTAACTGCATAAGATCATATGAGCGCGCGGGACCCATTAAACATTTTCAGTTGGTACGAAAATTTGAATTTTGCCCGCATGGCAGCCGAAGCCTACTCTTATCGCATTTGGACCACAAAGGTTTCTTTAATGTGAGCAACTTGAACACAGGACCTCCGAGATTTTTTGCCCTTATCTGAGAAGACTAGGTGTTAGATCTTACCTACCATAGGATCAGGGGTGTGGCTGAAAGACAGCAGTAAGGAGGAGCAAAGGAGTAGTAGCAGAAAGGCTGCAGAAAGATTCAGGAGCCCAGAGGAGCGGGCAAAGGAGGAGAGGGGGAGGGGGGAAAAAAGTGGAGACAAAAGCCTACGATGGAACATAGTTAGAGAAGAGGAAAGTAGGTGAAAGAAGAAATTTTATAGAAATAGCAAAAAATGTTCCATCGCTATCCAGATTTTGAACTGGGGACCTATTGAATGAGAGGCGAACACCGTAACCAATCGACCACCAGAGCTCTCAGATGAAGGTATGTTTAGAAATTAGGTAATATTTCAGACATTGGGATGAAACCTTTGTTTGTTCTTCTAGTTTGGAATAGAGAAGACTGACTTTCAATTTGAACCTAGAGACAGAGGAGCGAGAGAGGGGGAGAGATAGAGGGAGAGGAAGAGAGAGAGAGAGAGAGAGAGAGAGAGAGAGAGAGAGAGAGAGAGAGAGAGAGACTCTGCAGTTAGTGATATTTGGATTTGACGAGGGAGGGGGGGGGGGAAGGACGCAGAAATGCACACTGCACAGTGGCAATCAGCAATGCCCAGGCGCGGTTCATTCATAGAGCAGTCATGCAGTGCCGCCCAAAATGTTTTAATGTTCTTTTACATAAAGCACCCATAATAATACAATTTAAAAAGCCAGAAACAGACATTATGGGCCAAATATTTTATCAAAAAAAGATCTTCGCTGGTGCCGTAAATATACCATTTCTGTGTCTATAGCACCGTACTATGCCATACCAAGGTCCACACGCTTTACTAAACATAATATGATATTCAACAGTAGTAGCCTGACCTATAAATCGCTCTTTGGGAAGACCCAAGCCATGACGACACTCGTAGCGACTTTGGCTGTGCATTAATATTAATAAGAGGGCACATCTCAAATGAGCTCCTCCCGAATAGTGCCGAAACATAGTCCAGAGTGAGCAGTCTAAAAATAAACGCGATAGACTGTACACTGCTCTATTCCAAAATTATGTGAGCTGCGGAGCAATCCAGCACAGTGCTCAAGTCAATTGTGATTGGTTCATTGTCTTGCCACTATATTTGGTGACTCTGTGACCGTGAACCTGAGGGAGGTGAACGTGACATACTTAGGTCACCCTCCTAGGCTAGGAGTTGTGCCTTTGGATGGTTTTGTAGTGGGGTGGTGAAAGTTATTACTTGAGTATTCAGTTCTAATGCTGGATGAACTAAACTGATGTTTAGCTAATAAATTTAGTTCTAGAAATCAAAGCGACAAGTAAAAAGAATGAAAATAAAAGCACAAAGTTCTCCCTCACCAACCCAAAGATCCTAAAATTATATACAATCTCATTTACCAAACCCTTGACTATTTTCAGCCTGTGATAGCATAATTGTGCAAGCCAACTTTCTAACCCCATGAGCTGCCCCTGGAAAAGCCGTATTTGCAAAATTGTCTCCATTGTTGTTATACTATGTATTTGGTATTCTTTGAACACTTATTGTGCATTTAAATATCATATGTTTGTGTGTGTGTGTGTGTGTCTGTCCGTGTGTGTGTGTGTGTGTGTGTGCGCGCACATGCGCGTATGTGTGTAAGTGTGTATGTGTGTGTGTGTGTGTGTGTGTGTGTGTGTGTGTATTAGTGTGTGCATGTTTGCCATTTTAACCTAAATTTCCCGAAGGGGATCAATAAAGTGTAATTTGTATATTGATCTATTTATTCATTGATCTATTTATCTATTTATCATGCCTTAGTCCCTGGACTGAGTTATGGCCAAGTTGTTAGTCACACATACCTGGACAGTTAAGGTTGACGTCAGGCTGTGAACCATCTGAACAAAGACAGTCAAAAGAGCCATCTGTGTTGAAGCATGTCAGGCTTGCACTGCAAGGATTCTGGCCTTGACATTCATCAACATCTGTGGTGGGAAAAAAAGTGTGGTATATGAAGAGGGTATTCTTTTTACAAACCTTTCTATCAGGCATACTCTAAATCTTCAAAATCATTAGCAGGTTATCCTAGTAATCTTCACTATCTGACATCACAATGACACATACTGCATATGTGTCACAGTGTGGTGGAATCAGGCGCTCGGCTCGTCAATTTTTGGGCATACAAGATTATTGGTATCGTCTTAAAGCCTGTTCATTTGCCTTCCTTTTGGTAAAAAAAAATATCTGTCTTTGTTAAATGTTGAATAGAAGACAAAATATTAGTGATTGAAGGAGGGTAGGGTCGCTGGTTTCAGAGGTAAAAAATGGCATAGCTTGAGAGTCCTTGGAAACTGAAAATTTACTATTTTTGTGCCTGTAATAAATGTTTGTAAGTAAAATCCACCCAAACATGTGTTTTTAAATGGACATAAAAGGTGTTGAGTAAAAAAAAAATGTTTAAAAAATTGCCCATTGGCCAAAAAGAAATGCAGATTTCTTTGATGTCATTATTTTGATGAGTGCCTGATTTCATTACGATGCCTCACATATCATTGCGTATAGGATGCATGAGCAGATAAGATGCTGGGAGGTTCAGGAACTAAGGTATTAGTAGGCCTATAAATTATATGTTCGTCGGGTAAGATGCATCAACCTCTTCATGGCATGCACCATCACTTTTGATAGGTTTTTTAAAACATTAATTACCACTCTTCAAAACAAAATAAATGAAACTATTTTTTGACTTACTTTTTTTTGTCAGCACATAAATATAGTTCAACTTATTACTCGCCCTACAGAATTTCTTCTCTTGATGGCCCCCACTGGGTTTTTTGGGTGTAATTTCGTATTTCATGGATAAGACGCAAGGCAAATATGAATCCCAAGTTTTTCAGGTAAAAAGTTAATTTCTATATGTGATGATAAACATAACTGTGGGGGCTCTCGTGGCCTAGAGGTTAAGGTGTTCGCCTCTCATTCAAATGTCCCTGGTTCGAATCCGGGTACCTACGGAAACATTTTCTTCTCTAAAATTAACTCCTTTCACCTCTTTTCCTGCTTTCTAGCAATGTTCAGTCGTCTGCTTTCATCTCCACTTTCTGACACTACCCCTTCACTTCCTTTGCCCCTCCTCTGGGCTCCTGACTCTTTATGCAGCCTTTCTACTGCTACTCCTTGGCTCCTTCTTACTGCTGTCTTTCAGTCACACCCCTGATCTTCTGGTAGGAAAGATCTACACCTAGCCTCCTCGGACAATGGCAAAAAATCTCGGAGGTCTCGTGTGCAAGTTGCGCACGTTAAAGACTCCTTTGTGGTCTAAAATCGATGAGAGTTGGCTTCGGCCGCCACCTAGGCAAAATTCAAAATTTCCTATCAACTGACAATGTGTAATGTGTCCCACGCACTCATATGACCTTATGCAGCAGTGAGCGTCGTAAAACATTTACAAAAATACCTTCCAAAACATAAGTGTCTTGTATTTGATTTCAAAGTTTCTGTTCTTTTATTTTATCAGAACAGAAGCTTTACCGTATCATTGAGTATAACATGTAAGTTTTAATACAAAAATCAGAACTTGAAAGTTGCCCTCCATCTAACCCATGAGATATGGAATTAACTCATTCGCTACGCCGAGCCGTGGGGGGCGGCGCGGCTCAAGTGCCGTCAGTACGTTAAGCCGCCCCCGGCGGCTCGAGAACCGACGTTCAATTTTAGCTTGGTTTCTATTCCAATCCACTTATCCATGTTAAAATAAAGGTCATAATATAATGTTGACTTCCGGGTCAAGCGTTTCCACCGAAAATCGGAAGTTTTGATTCAGTTTTGAAACATGATTTCGTAGTTTATTCGACTTTGTTTTATCGCGAAGCCCAACTTATAGCCCAGACACCAGTCTTAGTACTTTTACACAACAAAATGTATAATTATTTTGCTCACTAAAGAAGTGTAGGACTCTTCTTTATAATATTGATACTATTGGACGCAAATTGCCGGTGCACTGTAATTGAGAAATCAATATTTTTGAGTGCTAGATCTAGGCCTAGATCTAAATAGTCAAAATATTTTTATCTCTCCAAAATCACTACTTTTGGGTGAAATTAATCAAAAAGTACCACTCAAGACATGTATAGGTTTATTCCAAGTGCAATTCTGAATAATTCATCATCTCATTTCGCCCTCCCGAAAAGAATTCGTCCACAAGCCGAAAATAATACGTAGCGAATGAGTTAAACCCACAAAAAACTTAGTGGGGGTTGATCAACGGGACAAACTCCATGGGTCAGGTAATCAGTGAAATATGTTTAGAACAGGTTATAGTAAAAAAAATCCAAAACTTTGATTTGCTTTGTTTCAACATGTGGTTATTAATTTAAAAATCCACTGATGGTGCTTGGGGTGAAGACATAGGTGCATCTTATCCCAAGGACTAGATTTATACTAAAATGTTAGTTCTTAAATCTACTAGCGTCTCGCTCGAGCATGTATACATGATGAAATACACTATTTCCTTTCTGATGACTTAATCTTTAGAAGTGTACTGAAAAATACAAGCATTAGGTAGGCCTGCAATACTGTGTCCTGCAGGAAGACCCTTCATCAGACTTTTGTAAATTTCTCCTTAGAATCACTGGATCCCAGCACCTGCAAATCTCCAACAGACCAGGGGTTTGTGGAAAAGGATATTTGTTTTTTTTTTACCGGTCACATAAGGGAAACTGGGATAAACATAAACTCAGTCAGTCTCATGAACTAGAAACTTCGAAACTTTACAAGTATCTATTCAAAATATTAAATTTTTTTGGTTTTGTTTTGTTTTTGCTTCTCAGGAAAGACTGCACTCAAGATAATCCAAATAAAGTATAAACTCATAGATATTTAAAAAATGTCCTCACCATTTTATGATCAACCAGAGACAGAATTTTTTAAAAAGTACAATAACAAAACCTAAGTTCTGCTTCAAAGAAATAAGGACATAGCAGAAAAGGTCTTAATCTGAAGATGATATATTAGATAGTATTCTTCAAAACTCTAAGTGCTGTACTAAAAAGTTATTAAAGTAAAAGTAAAATACCCCCCCCCACCCCTTCAAACTGCTTTACTAAATGCACACCATTAGGGATCATTGTGGTGTTCACAGCAGTTTTATGGGAATGACAAACAGAAGGCTATGATCTGATATCATTCTGTGTGAGAGTATGGGAGTTATACTTTACTTTTACCCAAAGACCATCTTGCATAGATTATTTTTTAATCTCTTTAGCCCTTGTTATCCTCCTCCTCCTCCTCCTCTTGCATAGATTATTTTTTAATCTCTTTAGCCCTTGTTATCCTCCCCCCCCGACTCTAATAACCTCACCCTATACCTGGCCTTCTTGGTGAGGCGTAAAAAGCAGCAAGAGTTCCCAATTACTGGTTGACTGAGAATCTGGCATAGGTGTTGGTGCAGGCATTTTCAGTGTACTGGGAATATGGTCAGACGGATGTACATTTTTCAGTACAATGCTTCTAATATTAGATGCATGCACCGTCATCAAGCTACTATGGATCTATTTATTACATTTTATACCGTTCAGAGCTCCATAATAGAAACAATGTCAGACTGAGTTAAAAAAATTACGTAGCAATTGTTTTTGGATTGATTGAGTAGGTGTTTTATGGCACTATCGACTCAATTTTGGTCATTTAAGTGCATAGGTTTCACCGCAACAAATCTAGGATCAGAGTCAATTTATACATGAATATCAAATGTGTTTTTGTCAGCATGACATGGCTGCCAGGTTTGTTCTCACCTTCACAAGTACCAGCTGGAACAGAATCCGTATAACCATTAGCACAGGAGCAGATATAAGATCCTGGAACATTTCTACATACGGCATTGGTACTGCAAACACTTCTCTGGCATTCATCAACATCTGAGTAAAGATAGAGAATTATAAAGAAATAAGCATGACAGTCGTACAAAAGTCAGATAATTCATTGTTCACAAATTGAATTGACATTTCCCCTGCAAAACATCTTCATTTTGTAGAAATGCCAGTTGAAATATTACACAGCGGGTTGCTGTTAGGCGGAAACCACTGTAAAATCCAATATACAATCTAGCACGCACAAAGCAAAATTGGCGGGACACGAAAATCTTTTCATTAGGTACGAATTTTGCTATGAACATGTTTTAATACAAAGTATATGTACAATAACAAATTATATTTGTTGTGCGTGTGTTTTTTGCTATGTACATGTCCATAATAAAAATATATGTAACAAAGCAAAAGCGAGAATTACCTTCACACTGCGTTCCAACTTGTTGATACCCAGTAATACAGGTACAGTTGTAAGAGCCCTCTGTATTTGTACACTGCTCTAACAGGGGGCATGGGTTTCCTTCACATTCATCGACATCTGTTCAGATATATTAGATGCTATTAAAATTCAAGGAGCATTGAAGGCATAGAGAAAATAATTTTAGAGTAAAAATGACCTTCACATAGTCATAAACAGATGAGGGAGAAAACCAAAGATCTTGTAAATTAAATTTCCTGAATGACAGGCCGTAAAGAACATCCAGGCAAGACTAAGATATCAAGGATCAACACCACCATCAACGGTCAGATTACCATCAGAGAAACACCTTACGAGGAAGTTGATTCCTTTGCTTACTTAGGTAGCATTATATAGACAAGTTTGGATGAACAGATGAGGATGTAAAGACATGAATAGGCAAGGCAAGGGGTGATCTTATAAAACTTAAAAACATATTTTCAACAGCAGTATTAAACCACTGGACAGACCAAAGAAATGAGCAACTATGGGAAATAGATATAGTAATCAAAAATAGTAAATGAAAGTGGATTGGATACATCTTGAGAAAATCAAAAAAAAGATCAAGCCTTAAGATGGAATTCATTAGGAAAAAGAAAAAAAAGAAGGCCCAAAAGTACTTTGAGGCTGGACTTAGGTTCCGACCTAAAGATAAAACTGGGATACAACTGTACTGAGGTGGAGACCATAGCCCAGGACAGAAGTACATGGAGAATGCTTGTTGATGACCTATTGTCCGGTACTGGGTGAAAAAAGGTGATGATGATGATGATGAAGAATTGTGACTTCACAAACAATGGAAGTTTTCGGAAAAAATGTACTTGTAAGTCAGGTCTTCATAAGTCTTTATCTCCAGCAAGCTTCTTGCGGTCGGAACCGCTGTAAGCGGCATGGGAACATTCCTTTACGATGACTTCAACATTACTTTTCGGCAATTGTCAAAAATAGATCTCTTTTTAAGTTCATTCATTCATTCATTAGATGATGAACTATCAAAATAGGTTCACTTGTTGTGATGTAATGACCCATTTAATGACGTTTTTGTCACTTTTAAATTTAGTACCAAAAAAGGCCCCCTTTGCATGGGTTTATGCCCCCTTGCAAATAAAAAGTTCATGCTGTTGATATTCCTTGATCCTCTGAGAACATCTATGCCACATCATGCATCATCACCCAGCTGTTTAGATGTACAAAGCTTTACAATTTGTAGTTTTAAGAAATTGCAATTTCTTAATATGAAGTAGCAAATGCACGTGATCAATAAATATTTTGTTGGAATTCAAATTCTAAATGTTGAAAAAAAGCAAGAAAAGACACATAACAGGGGTTCTATGGTACAATAAAAAAAAAAAAGAAACAGGTTTTTCTCTTTCCTGAAAAATTTTGCTATCTGAGCCTAAAACAGCACATCTTGCCAATGATTTAGTGTCACGACGCGGTGGTATCAGGCACGTCACTTGTCAATTTTTGGGTATATATAGTTATTGGTATCATCTTAAAGGTTGTTCATTTGCCTTGCATTTGATTTTTGAAATATCCATTTATCTTTATTAGAAGTCAGGATATTTGCAATTGAAGGAGGAGGGGTCACCTGGTATCAGAAGAGGAGTTAGCAAGAAAATGGCCGCCAAAGTTTGGTGACTTCCATAGTGCAAGAGTCCTTAAGAACTGCAAATTTACATTTTTCGTGTCTTTAATCAACGTTTTTCCATACAATCCACACATAAGAATGTCTTTGAATGGACATACAAGGTGTTGAGCCAAAGTGGACGAAAAATGCTGATTTCTTTGATCTCATTATTTCGACGAGCGCCTGATTTCACCACGATGCCTCACATTTGTGTGTGTGCATTATCTTGACGAAACAAAAGATCTAACACTGCATATCAACACTGTGAGGGACTTTATATTGTGAAGAAACCCCCAAAATCTGCTAAACTTTATGAACTGGGTTGTTGAATTGTTCACAATGTCTGAAAAAACATAGTAAATACCAGTCTGTAATAATTAATTTGTGTTTGCTTTAACCCCTCAGGACATAGACATTTCCTTTTATTTCTCTGATCCAGTGGCCACCTGAGTTTGAGCACTTCAGCTTAAGGACATGGACAAGAAACACTATACTTACCTACACATATGTTGTTTGCATTAGACCGGTAGCCAGTAGAGCAGGAGCAAGTGTACGATCCATCGTTGTTAACACAAACCTCATTAGCAGAGCATGGCTGCTGTTGACATTCGTCCACATCTGGTCAAAAATTGAGAATGATAATTATTTACTTATGTAATTATTGTTTAAAGGTTTCATTGAAGCAAAGTATCACAGCATTTGCTTCAGTAGTTTTCCCATTCCAGTAGGAAGATGTATCATTATAAGTTGTCTTGCAATATCATATTGACTCTTTTTTTCTCCGTCATTCTCATTGACTATATATAGGAAGTACAGTAACAACCAAACATTGGTATTAATCAACTCTTTTCTTACATGGTGAATCATATGATGTGGCAGATTTTAATGTTTCTAGTGACTACATCCTGCATGTCATCCACAAATTAATTATTTTTTGCCCTGCATTGAGACAATATGTATGTATTTGAGAAAAAAATCTCAAATAAAACAATTTTCAAACACTTTTTTGTCAGTGAGTATATGCCCTTCACTGAAAACCTAGACAAAAATTGTTTCTCATGGACTTAATCACTGCAAACCGAGTTATGTTATTTTCACTCAAGCCAAGGAGGCTCACAAAGATGATCAAGTGCCACAAATAACCTATTTTTAGGGATGACTGTGAAGCTCCTGTTAACTCCAAAACTTTGAGTCAAAGTCATTGAGTCAAAGTTATTGTTGAAAAAGAGACATTTATGTTTATTAAGAATATCAAAACGTATTATTCATGACTTCAGAAGCCAACAGCAGTTTTTTTCTAAGCACAATCAAACTTTGCATAGCCCTACATGTGCAGTCGCCCTGGCCAAATGGTCAGTAGTAGTAGTATAAGGTTTTACGGCGCTCGCAACTGCTAAGGTCATATGAGCGCGCTCCAAATGGTCATCATAAAGGCAATGAATAGAGCTGTTAAGAGGTTACTGGTATTTCCTTTTTTGAAGTTGGCTTTTTTATAGTGATATTTGAGGACATTGTAACAACCCACTGGACTCACCAAAACCACTTTCAAGAAACTGCATAGGCTGTCAATTTCTTACATGTTTTACCTATCAATTTCATATCAAGTAGGGATGGGACATATGAAAAGCTAAAAAAAGTTGATGACCCATGAGCTCACCATTGCCTCTATATAATATATGTAAATTGGGGAAAGAAAAATCTAATCTGATTTGTAAGCCTGACTAGTTTTACGTGGGTATATTCCTTTTTTCTAGGCATTGTCTGTTTACTGCAGGATGTAGATCTCCAACAATGACCTCCATATTTTTTTTTGTTAGCTGTTCTCCAAGTCAAGGCTGCGACCGTCTGCTTTCTGATGTCATCTTGCAACTTTCTTTGTATTTTTTTTTTACTGTTCTTTGTCTCCATTCAGTGGTTCTTTTAGTTCACTTCAGTTTTGGTTCTTTCCTTCATACTAATCATTGTTTGGTCTAAGTACTTTTGTCATTTTTTTCAATGTCCTTGTAGTAACCATGTGGGTATATTAAAAACAAACAAAAACCACTTGGTTACAGCGGAACTCGGATTCAACGAAGTCGTCGGGCTTGGCATTCAATTTCGTTGAATCCAAGCATTCGTTATGGCAAATATGAGGTTTTTGTGTAGATGGTTACAGACATAGAGCAAGTAATGTATCATGTATTCAACTTTCTCAATCAAAAGTAGTCTGGTTTCAAATGAGAGGCATTTTCGTTTCTTTGATACCGAAGAATTTCTGGAAAATTCAAGGAAAATACACTGAACTCTACCATTAAGCACACAGTGTTCAAATGCACTGTGTCATCTATCATCTATAAAGTTATGTTTGCCAAATAAATTATGTTGTTGTCAGAACCTAACATATGGCAATGTTTGATTCCACAGTCTAGTGCGCAATATATTACGTAGATCTATGTCAAGATTAGCTAATCATTGCAATATTGATCAGTAGCCGGGGTAAAAAAAACCTTGTCGTGTTTGTATCTCTATTGACGTTCCACGCCTGGAACGTTGTACCCCTTACCCCAAGAAACACGCACACATAGTCACATCTCACACATGTGCTGGCCACCAGTCCTGCCCTGACACTTGCTAAGGCAAGGGTGCATGATAACAACATGTGTGTTGGGATGAAAAAAGGCCGCTGATTGGTTGCACAGAGCAGTTCACCCTGTAAGCGATTTAGTTGAATCAGAACTTACTCGCTTACGTGTTCGTTGAATCCGAGTTTTTTAAAATATATTTTTAAGAATTAAAAAAATCTGGGTGGGAATACAACTTCTTTAGTTGAATCCAAGTTTTCGTTGAATCCGTGTTCGTTGAAACCGAGTTCCACTGTACAAACAGCACTTTGAGAACTGGTAATTTTTAAATTGAGTAATCAACCAGTAATTGATCTAATCTGAACAGGCAGTCATTCAGAAAAGAAAGAGGGAGCAATCCGCAAAAGTTGATGTTTCACCTGAACACACAGTTCCATTCAGGACATAGCCTATGGAACATGAACAATCGTAGGAGCCCACAGTGTTGCTACAGTCGTTATTCACCGGACAAGGGTTTCCAGTACATTCGTCAATGTCTGTACAGAAAGAAACAATGTCCATTATACAACTGGCCTAAATCCAAAAACAAAGAGAGATTTTGAAAAAACAGAGGTGGAAGCATAGTGATTCAATGAAATACAGGTAGAAATACTTTTGAAAGTATGATAAAATTTCCTTCCTATTGAAATGTGCCAGGGTTCATTGAGGTGACGTTTAGAGAACCAAGAGATTCAATGTAGGCCTACTGAAACGATCGAGCCAAAGAGACTTACAACCTGGTTTTTTCAATGGCAAGGTATTTTGAGAATGTGTCAAATTATCCAGAAAAATGTAAGAGCTCTAGAATATGGTAGGGCCTACTTAGTTGTTGCGTATGTAATTGCTCTTGGGCAGCTCATTTACACTTTCAAAAGAAACAATTAATAAGAAGCTGCATGTCTGAGCTAAGTTTCATAATTTTCTCCATGAACAGGACAGAGGCCACACTTGGATGAAGAAATAGAGCTTCCCAGGGCAGTTTAGTTAATCTCAGATACCCAATACCAATATATGAGAATGTTATGTCAAACTTATATCATAAGCCAGCTGTTCAGATGTAGGGCCTGCTTATCAAATCTTTTTAAATTGCAGTTTCTTAATTCATGGTATTGTCCGCAAATGCTCAAGACATATTATGTTGACATTCAAATTCAAAATATTGGAAAAAGCAAAAAAGATAAATATTGTAAGTGCAACTTAAAAAAAAAAATAATGTCTTTTCTTTCTCTCTCTTCACAGCCTGGAAATGATGCTTACAATTATCTCTAATTTTGACTTTACAGGCATGTCCTTGCAGTTGAGTATGTTACTCTCCATTCAACTGACTTATGTCTAATTTGGGAGTCACTGCCATTTGCATAAAACTGTACATCCCATTTCATTTTTTAGGTTGAAAAAGTAGAAAATATGCTTAAACTGTGCAATAGCAAAGGTAAGCAGTTAAAGCACAATTTCTCATTTAAGCTATGTCCTGAAACATGCTGGAATCCAAGGGGAACAACAGCAGAATGTATATTTGAAGAAATAAAGTAATCAGGTGTTGAGTTTTAAACTGAACTCTTGACGTATTCAAGCGTTGTCTTTTAAACTATTTTGCTCAACTGCCTCAATGATGACTACTTTGGCATGGGTAATGTGCTTTCTGTTCCCATTCATGTAGTAACTGTAGCCCTGCATTTCAACAGAAAAAAAAAATACCCATGGCACCTGTATGCTGAAGATGAAGAGATTCACACGTATTGAGTTTAAAAAGGAGTTTAATTACATTTTAAAAATATTCTTTTGTAAGTTTGTACTTGGTTATCTACTCAAAATAAGAAAAATCTACCCATAAAGTAGATTTAATTTAAATCAGAAAAACAACACTTTAAAACAAACTATTTGAGAATGTCTATTCAACAGTACTTTTGCATTCAACGGGAAAGAGACAAGCCATTACAGCAAAGTCACCAATCATCTGTCTGAGGTCTTTCCTGTTTGAACTTCATAAGCAGCATAAAAGGGAAAAAGAAAGCGATTCACACTTAGGGTTTTACTTTACCCGAACATCCACTGCCGGGGAAGAAAGTATATCCAGGTGCGCAAGGACAAGTGAAAGAGCCTGGGGTGTTACTGCACACTGTATTTGGTGGGCAAAGATTTAAAGCACATTCGTCTGCATCTGTTCCAAAGGAAAAAGACCATATGTGAGGCATCATGATGAAATCATACGCTCGTCAAATACTGAAATCGGAGAGATCGGCATTTTTCTGCCAGTTTGGAGACTTTTTTAGAACTTTGTTTTCTCGCTCAACACCTTTTATGTCCATTTAAAAACACATTTTTGGGTGGATTTCACTGAAAAACACTGATTAAAGGCAAACATTGCAGATTTTTAGTTTTCTAGGACTTTCAGGCTTTGGAAGTCATCGAACTTTGGCAACTTTTTTCTTGCTAATTATACCTTTGAAACCAGGAAACCCCCACCTCCTTCAATCGACCTCTATTCAAGATATAGGCCTATTGGCATTTTTTTCCATCTAAAGCAAGGCAAATGAACAAAAAAAAAGCTGTAAGCTGAAACCAGTAACTCCGTGTGCCCAAAAATTGACAAGCATCTGATTGCACTGCGTCGTGACGCTTATGATCTTACGTACTAGACTATTAAAACAAAATACAAAATATTAAAAAACCATGCTGTTTTTGCCCACAACTATAAAACAAAAGAAAGTATAAACTGTAAATATGTCACTCTTGGCACCCCATGACTATGTATTATAATTATGTGCAAAATGGTAAAAACAGTGTATTCAATTACCTCTAAAATAGAAACACTGCCTATTAGAAATAAAAGCTGCCTTGATTTTTAAAAAAATCAAAGGAACTCGGCCTACCAAGATGAGAGGAAATATTCTGAGAGGCGCAAGAACAAGAAAAATATACTGTTAATCAAAAGTAAATTTTCAACATAACATGGAGAGCAAAATTCAATGCAAGTATGAGCAGAAATTAGGCAGAAGAAATAGTACATGGCACGACTTAAGTATTATCTTAGTGTCAGCATTCATAAAAGAAGCACATCTGGAAAATCTTTCTCATATGTGAGAAATCATGGTGAAATCAGGCGCTCGTCAATGTATGATGAAATCGAAGAAAACATAATTTTTCTCCCCATTTGATCATTTGTATTTTTTGGCTCAACATCTGTTATGTCTATTTTAAAAGACATTGCTTTGTGGCTTTTTACTAAAAATCGTTGATTAAAGGCAAAGATAGTACATACCAAGATGGGCCACTTCTCTCTTTGAGCCAATTAAAAAAGTGTCCTCAAAATTTGGTGGCGCCCTCTTCACAAAAGCGCACTCTTTGCGAACAGAGTTACCCTACTTGAGTTTTAAAAAATCAAAGTGAAACTAGCAAGTTTTGGGATAAATTTCGGAAGAACGCTTTTTTAAAATGGTTACGCTGACAAAAAACCTCTTCCGGAGGAAAGGGTGATGGTTTTCTTCGTTTAATTTGACTTTAGAATGAAAGGCGAGAGGTCATTAAAATTTAAAAAACCCTAAAACTCCGCACTGAACGTACCCGAACTGCTGATGAACAGCAGTCGACTGCTGATGAACAGCAGTCGATCTGCGCACGCAAGGAGGTGCTATTCCTATTCTTCTTCTGGAAAAACGAAAGAGAGCTTCAAAACAGACGGCAGCGCCATCTGAAGCAAAGAGCATACTTCCTGCGGACACTTTTTTGGCTGAGTGGCCCATCTTGTTATTTACTATCTTTGTTAAAGGCAAACAAAATGTAAATTTCAGTTTCCAAGAACTCTCAAGCTTTGGAAGTCACCAAACTTTGGCGGCCATTCCCCCCCCCCCCCCCCCACTAATTTTACCTCTGAAACCAGGAGACTCCCACCTCCTTCAATTCCATATATATCTCAACTCTATTTAAGATAAATGGGTACTTCTTGTATTGTAAACAAGACAAATGAGCAGGCTGTAAAATGATACTAAAAACTCCATATGACCAAAAATAGACGAGCGCCTGATTCCACCGCATCGTGACACATAATAATATTAGTATGCAACCCACAAAGCACTGTACTCTCATCTATATTCCTCAAGAAAAACGTTTATTTTCTATTTATTTTTTGCTTGTTTATTTGTTCTTTTGAAAACAGTTTTTCATAATAACATATTATGTTTCTGTGTTAAACAAACAAAATTAGGCCTACATGCCAGATACCATGTTTTCGTTACATAAGGAAACAAACAAACAAACCAACAAATAAACATTTTGGTATATTGATACTATTTTTCATCATGACATGTGTTCTGATTTAGCAAACAAACAAAACTGACTAAAGAGACTAACACTACAAGAGCATTTTTATTGTTTAGCTTTCTAAGATCATTATCTGGCTGAAAAATTGTTTTACAGAAATGTTTGTTTAAGTTAATAATTAGTCCTATGATGAGAGCAGTGTTTCAAAGACGTAAAATAAACATATGCAAATAATCAGTTTCTGACAGCCTGTGAATCTTTAAAGTACTTTTTCTGTGTTCTAGATAACTTGATACAAGAGATAATTTCATTTAGTAA